CCTACCTCGTGAATCCAATTCAGTACATCCCCATAACATGTGATGGGCGTTGAAATCACCAGCTATAAAGACTGGCTGTGGCAAACTTTGGATTAAATTATCTAATTTGGACTTATTATAATTAATTGGTGAATTAGAGGGACAGTAAACACTAACTAAAGTTAATAATTTACCGTTATATTGTATTTGTACAGCTATATTTTGTAATGAGTCATCAGAGAATGTATTGATAACGCGAAATCCAGTTTTGTTATATAGAGGTATTGCTACTCCATTATGATCATTACCTGAATCTAATCGTATAATATTATAACCTTTTACTGTAAAATTGTGCCTAGGTTTAAGCCAAGTTTCACATATGAGAGCAACATCTATGGTGTTCTCATATAAAAATTGTGTAAATAGAAAGCAATTTTTAATTAAACTCTGTGCATTCCATTGTAAAATGTTAAACTGATCCATAAAATATTAAATGATAAATAATGTAATATCTATTTTGGTTTCATTGTATCTATGAGAACATCTTTAACAAGCTGAGAAGATATGGTGGTTTGTTCATTTGATTTATTAAGAGTTAATACTTTAATGACTGTATTTAAATAAATTTAACAGTGGTAGAGCCCTGCGGCAGCTTTTGCTGTCGCACGGATGGGCCGGCTCAAACCGGGGTGGTACCACGACCTCACAGAAAACCAGCCTGAAGTAGAGGTTTGCCTGTGCGTTTCGCTTAGTGAGTGCAGGTGGCCGGAGGCCCTTTTTACTGGAAATGAGGCATTCCATCTTAGTCCTCACGGGTGACAACGCATCTACATTTTGATTTGTAATAGAGGATAGATGTAGATGTCTATGGGCCGCAGCAACCACTTACCATCAGGTGGACTGTGTGCTCGTTTGTCACCCTTATCCTATATAAAAAAATTATATTAATAATGTCATCATTCTTTAGCAGTGACATAAGAGCATCTTTAGGATTTTTTTTTTTTGTTTAATTCGGGGAAGTCGTTTTTATTAAAAAGGTCTACAAACGGGGTTTTGCGTAATTTAGCCTGATTTTTTTCTATCTTTTCTTTCTTAACAGGACACTGTCCAGAAATGCTTAGATGGTTTCCTTTGCAATGTATGCATATCGCTTTATCTGAAGAGACTTGACAATCTTTGTAGCTGTGATTTTCAGTACAAATTGAGCATTTCACAGAATTTTTACAGTAATTTGCTTAATGGCCATACCTCAGACAGTTGTAGCACTGCTTCACTGGTGGAATATTCTGATTTACCACGAACCGCCAACCATGAAGATAGACGTGGTCCGGCAAAACATTAGAAGCCAACGTGATGGCCATGGTGCCCGTCGGCCCGACGTCCTGCGTCATTCTTATGTTTCCTCATTATCCTTTTAACATATTATCTTCCTGTAAGTCGTTAACATACCAAAAATTCTTGAATTAGAAAGATTAGTGGGAACATTAGTTATGACTCCTGTTATTTCTGTCCATACAGCTGGTATAGATGCCTTCATTTTGTATTCATTAAGAAATGTAACATTATTTGAATATGCATTCGCTAGAGAGGGCTTTTCAAAATGAACGCCTATTTGGTATTTATTCATAGATTGCAAATATTTAATGCCTTTATTGAACCTTTTCATATGTGTGGACAGAGACATCATGTCCCGCGTGCCAATTGGCCTTCTTTCATCATTTGATTTGACAAAGACAACAAAATCAACGAGAACAGTCCTCAGGGTACCTCCTGTTGTAGTCAGATACAAAGTACGGCTTATTATACTTGCGCTGCTCTTTCTCAGAATCTTCCGCAGTACTGGTATCAACTTCTTCCTCCTCAGTCATTTCTTCAAAGACTTCTTCTTCTCCCGGCAACTTTTTTTTCTACGTTTGCCCATGATGAGGAAACCCAGTAACAATAAAACAATAAAAAGTTTAGTGCCTTTTAACTAAACAAAACAAAATTAAAATTTTAGTTTAAAAAAAGGCGCCTATCACATTTCAAGGTTCCCACGCTTTTTCTTTATTTAATCAAAAACTGACAACACAGTAAACGTCATTTGAGTTCATCTAATTAAAAATACGACATAGAGCTCCAAGATGAGCTTACGAAAAGCTTACAGCACAAGGGGGACCCACTGTATGTAATAAAACAAACTTTAAATGAACATGGACATGAGGTTCTGCGATATCGCCGTGTTTCTGTGATTTAAATCCCGTCGAAAAGATTTGGGCCGTGGTGAAGAGGAATATTGCAGAGAATAAAGTCGATTAAGCTTCTAGTAAAAAAGCCTCAGTTACTGAAGCAGTGTTTAGGACAGTAACAACAAAAGAATAGCTTAATGTATGCCTACATGTAAAAAAAATTGAAGAAAGCTATTTCAAATTAGACAGGGCTACTGGATATGGGAATGAACTCTTGTTACTGGCGACACATGCGAATCTTTCTCATGAAAACTTTAGTATGGATTCTGATGAAGATGTTTAAATAGTGTGTAGACTTATCTTGAGCGTATTTAATCAATATTTCTTTGAATGTAGTAGTCTTAGACGAATTAATGGTCTAAGGGTGTAGTCATAGATAAATATATATGTAGCAAGGGTGTAGTTATTCTACTTCACAGACTACTGAGAGAATGCATTACATTTCTACACTATGCCCAGATGGACAAGGCTGTATAGTCTCAGACTTTTGCAATTTGTAACAACAACAATCAACAACTCTATGGTCAGACTGCGACAAGCTGTTGAAAGGGTTCATGCCGCGTTTTCTTTTAGCGTGTACTATTAATTTGAAAAAAACTAGGTTTAGGCCCATCTTAGTAAAGTTTTCTAATATAATCTATAATTTGTTTTAATTAAATGTAAGTATACATTACTTGGCTTTGTATTATTCTCTAATTCTCAAACATCTGTTTGGCGGTAACATATATTCTATACTTATTTATTATTATTTATTTTGTTATCATCATCATTAACATTTTTTATTTGTAGTATGTTGCTAACGACATAACTCAGGTATTATTTCCTATTTTATATTGTAGTGAAGTTTATTGAGCGGGGCACGTGGCTATTTTATGTCCCTTTTGTGTTCTTGTCAATTGTCATACTGACCGTTGGGAATTCGGCAGGTGGCTTTTACTTTCGTATTGGTTTTAAAATTTGAAAGCTCTAATAGATTTTCCTTCACGATACTTACAGATATGATCGAAATATTTATGATCATATGTGCCGTGTTGTAGCGGCCTGAGAGAATTCACCTACCTCATAACATTCAGTGGGTGTCGTTAGAGGTGACGGAGAGAAATGAAAATAAAATAGGAGTAGGAGATAGATCGGCAGCATCTTGATAAAAACTCAAAATAATTAAAAATGCACCTGCTTGTCAAGTTTGTAAACTATAGCAAATATCCATCCATTTATCCGTCATTATATGAGGCAATCTATAGGAAAAACTTTTTTTTCTTATGCTGATCTGCAATAAGTCGAGTCGACTTTCATCAGATGTGTTGTATTGTGTTTGTCAAGCGGGGGAAACTCCTCAGTAGGAGCTACCTCTTCAATTTTGGAACCGGGTATCTGGATTTTGAATGTCATAGCGTTCCAATCGTTTGCAATAGCCGATTTGTGCCAAATTAACTGCTAGGTCGTTGGGGTGTTTTTGGAGGCAACCCTTCACCATTGTTATGTAGAGAGCCTCATCAATTGAACTGTTTGTCACGAACCATGGCACATTAGCTATCTGTCGCAGTATGCGGTGTAGGAGAAACTTATGATCAGACATGGCCTTAAGTTACAATGCTGTGCATGCATTATACTATTTCATGAGGGTTTGAAACCTGCACAGAACAAGCTTACAAATAATGATTATGAACAATCATTGGTACGACTTTCCATTTACTCCCATCGAGTTTGGTGTTGATATGTATTTTCACAGAAAGGTTACATTTTTATAAGCACACACACAAAGTTTCAATATGCGGAAACACGTATTTTTTGAGAAATAAATTAATAAAAATCACTTATTTTAACAATATTTTGTTGTTTTTTTTTTAACTGGCTTTACGGCTCTGGGTTCTAGCCCTTTTGAGCCTACTTTATTACGAATTTCCATTGATATTCGTCGAATTGAGGGGCGAGGAGGGGGGGTGGGAGAAGAGGTGTAGGGGGACTAATTCAGAGGGATTTCTGTATATATTTTGAGACTGCAACGTCTCCGACGCTGCGGGAAGAGCAGCCTCTACGCCTTTGCGTAACACGTACAGCAGGCGGAGGCTACTCCCCCTACGCGCCTCCGGTTCTATATAACCACTCTAGGGGTAGGACAGACTTGTACCACGTGGAGTCGGGGTCAATAAATTTGGTTCTTTGACATAAGTAGAACCTAACCTATTTTATTTATTATCTGCCCTAATAGGTACTGTTAAAATAAAACAAATCAAATATAATCAATAATTTATTAATCAATTTTATACACATATTGACGACGACAATGACATTACAAAATGGCGCCAGTTTTACGCTAGGAATGTAACATAAACATTGCAAAAATAATTAATTTTCAAATAATGTTTTTTCTGAAAAAGTACGTATTTCCGCATATTGAAACTTTATGTGTGTGCTTATAATAGTGTAACTTTTATGTAAAAATACGTATCAATCCCCAACTCGATGGGAGTAAATGGAAAGCTAAGCCCAATCATTAATTAATATATGGCCTACAAATAATTGTTCTGGATGTATGTCCTTGTCTAATTTAAACTGCCTCCAATATATAGGAGAAAATACTAGTGTAGGGGTAATGTTTTTATAAATAATGAGATTACAAAATTAATAGTAAAGTTAAAAGTTTCAATATTGACCAAAATATGTGTATGGGCCATAGCATCCATTTACCATCAGTTGGGCTGCGTGCTCGTTTGCCACACATATTCTATAAAGAAAACATAATACCTGTTTTGTTGTAGTGAAAAACAGCGACATTTATAATACTTGAAGATGACTGATATAGCAGAAGTAAGCACCTCATCCCCGACAGAGTTATTAGGAGAAGGAAGGCGACATCTTGCTGTCAGAGATTACAATGCTGCAGCGGAAACTCTTGCTACAGCCTGTGAGCTTCTTGCCAAAGAACATGGGGACACAGGTGATCAGTGTGCAGAAGCATACTTATGGTAAGAACTATTATCTGATTTCTCTCCAGAATGTGTTATATGCATGTTCAAATATTACCTTGTATACCTATACGCTTCATTGTTTATGGAAAACTATAAATGACACAAGCAATATATTTATATCACTATGCCGCATCATAAAACTGGCTAAATGTTATAATAAATTATATAAAACTCTACAATGGACCTAAGCCTACATAAAAACTAAGACATCATACTTAATTATGCTGCATTGATTACACATCCAATCCAATTTTGTAACATTTTATTTATTTCATAGGTATGGTAAAGCTTTACTTGGACTCTCAAGAGAGGAAAGTGGAGTCCTTGGAGATGGTATGCCTGGAACTGGCAATGCTGATGAGGAAGATGATGACAATGAAGGTTCGTGAAGAATTATTTTAATGAGGAGTTATTTCTAGAGTATTTACTATACTATCTTGACATATAATAATTTTTCTGTATGTGTTTTTGTCACTGAAGCCCTGCTAAACGGCTGGACCAATTTTGGTGAATTCTTTTGTATATGTGTAAATGGCTTCCTGGATGATTAAGTGGTGCTGTTGCCGAGATCCAGAAATTACCCGTGAGAAGTCGGGACATAAGTTACAGTCAATATATGTCTGGGCACAAACCTTTTCTTCCTGAGAGGGTTTAAATATATATATTAAAGATGATTTTAAAAGTAATTTAAATATCAAAATATTTTTAAAGTTCCACTGCATTGAACCAAACCAAATTCCAAACATTCCTGGTTAACCATTTATTCACATAAGATTTTGCTCCTTTTCATTTTTAAATGTCACAAAACAAATACTACATGAAATTTGGTATTTAAAAAAAATACTTAATATAGATCTCTGTTTCTGTATTTATTATCAAATTTTGATACAAGTAATTGTCATTAAATATTTGTCATAATTTGTTCTTTTTTATAACAAGAAGAAAATGGTGAAGATGAACAGAATGGAGATGTAGAAATAGAAGCAGAAGCCAAACCAGAGAAACAGACAACAAATGGTGAGGCTGCTGATAGTGGGAGTGGAGAAGTAAAGAAAATAGAAGCAGAATCAACTACTAAAGAAGATGAACCTGGAAGTAGTGTTTCAACAAGTGGAACAGATGAGAACAAACCCGTTAGTAAATAAAATATTACTCATTACTCATCAGCCTGTAAAATTCCACTGCTGCACATGGGCCTCTCCCATTTTAAGGAGGCTTTCCTTAATAGTTGTACTTGACTGACAGTTTGATAAATGCCATCACTACCAGATGTTTTGCACTAGCAAAATTACTTTATTTGTTTTTCTTTAAGTAAAGTCAACAATTCTTCAGTGTTTATGGCATAATAATATCCTAATTTTGTATGTGGTTGTTCTAAGAATTGACAATAGGAAATATAAAGATCTTGTGACCTTCACTAGATACCAGAATAATCGTTATATAAATATCGTTATGTATGTCAGATGGTACCCAGAGTAGTGTAGCATCTGTGTGCAAAATGTATGATATTTTTATCACCAACTATCTGCCATAGTATGAGATAGGCCCATATTCCATTTGACTGTTCACTTTGTTGAAAAAGTATAACAGTACATATCCCTCTGTATTGGGCAGATTAGTAACTATCGGTATATAAACAAAGCAAAGCACTTACCACCATGTGGGGTTTGTAGACAAGTATTGGCATTTAATAAGTACTAGCTGATACCCACTTGCTAATACACACACAATAATATTTTATTGAAGAACCTATTAAATTCTTTTTTGATGGGTATATATCGTAAAGTCCATTCTTAGTGAGCGTCTACATTGTGAAATGAGTAACTATACTAAATTTCAAGTCAATCAGGTGTATAGGTTTTAGAGATATTTGTGCTGAGTCAGTCAGTCCGTCAGTAACATTTTGCTTATATATAATATATAAATTATTTAGCATGAATGGGTCGTCTCGACTGGGAAAGGACTACGCTCTCACAGAATAGTATAAAATAGCAGCTTAATGTTGCTGTGTTTCATATGTGAGTGTAGAGAACCGGAGACCCTTTCTACTTAATATGAGGCATTCTATCTTAGTCCTCTTGGGTGACAACGCATTTTTGATACTTAATGGAGAATAAATGTGACGTCTATTGGCCACTGCATTTTGACATCAAGAGGATTGTGTGCTGGTTTGTCATCCTCATTCTTAAAAAAAATTGCAATGTGAAATGACAATGTATAACATTTTAAGATTTTTTGTTCTACAGTTTCTTTTAATTCTCAAGCGTATTGGTGACAAACAATTTTTATTTCTCATGATGTTATCAGGGCACTTCAAATGGTGAACCAATGGATGAGTCTATGGCAAATCTGGAAAATGAAGATGATGTTGACAATTTGCAACTGGCATGGGAGATGCTAGGTAAGTCTTATGATAAAGTTTGAGAATATATTTTAATAATTCTTTTATTTACATTATATTATCACTGTAAACTTTTTTGTTCCCTTTTATTCCAATTTGAGAATGTACATTTTCCTCCCTCTTTGGGCATTAGTTTATAGACGCTGCTTATGTTTAAAACACCAAATAAATGTGTCTTTCTTCCTTTCTAATTTCCTACACCTTTTTTAGCCTTATTATGATTTTTTCAATAAAATTAAAGTGGCAAATGAGCTAACTGTTCAGGTTGCAGGATACTAGGGATGGGCAAGTGAAAAAATATCGGTATATATTGTATCGATGTTTTGTTATGATGTATCGATATATATTGCGTGATAAATATCGATTTATTAATATCATTTGCATGATGTACAAGGCCCAAAATTTTATTACTGACGCCTGGATGACGAAAAGAAAAAAACGACAACCGCATATGAAAGCTTTTGTAGCTGCTTTTGTTGCTTCATGTTATGTCCATTAATACATTTTCAAATATATAGAAATTGATACGAATTCGATATTCTATAACAAATATCGATATATCGCGATTATAATTATCGACGATATATATTGATATTTTTATGAGAAAATATCGAATCGATATTTTTTATCTATGCAGATTCACTATCATCCCAGGATACTATGAAACACCTCACAATCTGTCATGATTCCCAATACCCTTCAAATAAGAACATAACATTAATGCAATACTACTTGGCAGCAGAAATTGGATAGCCCTCTTTCCTATCTCTTCCACCTACCTACTTATTTGAAGATATGAACTATGCAAAAGCTTATTGAAAGATGTCAACTATGCATGAGTTAAAGATTTTTTTTTTTGTAGAATAATAATTACTAGTGAGCATGTAGCCCACCAATCCTACCAACTGATTCACCATAATAGATGTTATATAGATTAGAGGACAGTTATGTAGATGGTAGAGCCATGATGCTGAGTTTAAGGCTTGCAGTGTCAATGGTTCGGCTCAATGAGGGAAGTACCATGCTCGGGAAAAAATACCTATATGGTATAGCAGCATGGTGTTACTGTATTTCGTATGGTGGATAATGGCAATTGGAGATTCATTGATTTTTTTTTCATCATGATCTAATCTTAGGGGTGGAAATACTAAATACGAGGGCGGCACTGAAAATTTCGGGAGTGAAGGAAGTGACACAACATTGCTATTTAAAAATGTATTTTTCCATACGATGGAACCAATCATTGAAGCAACCATTCCATTCGGAAGTTGGGGTCTCCAAAATGGCCGTTTTGTAGGCGTCCACAGCTTCTTCAGGTGATGAAAATCTCTGTCCACGCAATTTATTCTTTATTTTAGGGAAAGTATAGAAATCATTAGGGCTTAGGTCGGGGCTGTACGGCTGATGGTCTAATAATTCTATGTTTTCTTGCTCTAAAAACTCTTGTTCTGTGTGCGGTGTGAGAACTCGCATTGTCGTGATGGAGGATGATGCGGCGGTTGCAGTTCTCTTTACGGAGTTCAGAAACGACCTGTGGCAAACAAATGCTAGCATACCATTCTGCATTAACCGTTCTTTGTCCCTCAAGAGGAATAGTCGTAACATGGCCGGTTTTGGAGACAAACGTGGCCACCATTTTTTTTTGCAACACTCCGTGAACAAACAATTTTTGTTGGCTTTAACTCATTTTCGAACACCCAAACTCGTGACTGGTTTTTTGTTTCGGGTTTGTACGCGTATATCCAGGATTCGTCACCTGATACGATGTTGTATACAGCATTTGAGGATCCTGCGTGAAATCTTTCGAGAGTTCTGACGCACCAAGTAACGCGAGCCGCTTTTTGCTCTTCACAGAGCGAATGCGGTATCCATCGGGAAAACAACTTTTTTACACCTAATTGTTCATGCAAGATTTGTATTTGACTCATGCCAATGTCTAAAGTTGCCTGAATTTCGCGGTATGTCACATGTCGATCTTCCTCAATCAGCTTACGCACAGCATCAACGTTTTCTTGGGTGACTGCAGTTTTTGGACGACCTTGACGGGAATCATCACTGAGCTTGACACGTCCACGTTGAAATTCAGCAAACCAGTGATAAATTGTGGTTTTGGATGGGGCTTCATCACCAAATGCAGAAATCATCCGGTCAACACACTGTTTTTGTGTTAAACTACTTCGAAAGTCATAATGAATCATCGCTCTTGAATTTTCTCGAGTCAATTCCATTTTCTCAACGACTAAACAAGTTTGACAAAACCTTGTGACAAGACCGAGAATCTTTTTTTAAATAAATAAATGGTATACGATTTTTAAAACCAAGGAGTTTTCAATTAAAAAGATTTTAATATGACAGGAACAGTGGAAATATTCCATTCCCGATACTTTTAGTGCAGCCTATGTATTTGCATTTCCATTCTTAATCTAGAATAGATCAAATTGTTTAAGGTTCACAGCATCTTGGTGGACTGAGTGAATATTTGTCACCTTTACCTTTATAGTGTCATTTGGTGTGTGCAACAGACATTCTCTCATACTAATTCATGCTTATAACACTTACAGAATAAGATTTGAGATAGGTCGTAGGTACGTGGTAGAGCCATGCTGCAGCTACGTATTCTAATAGTATAGTTGTAGCACGAATGGGTCGGCTCGACCGGGGAAGGACCACATTCTCACAGAATACCAGTGTAAAATAGCAGCTTAATGCTGCTGTGTTTCGTATGGTGAGTGTAGAGAACCGGAGACCCATTTTACTGGAAAAGAGGCATTCCATCTTAGTCCTCACGGGTGACAACGCATCTGCATTTTGATTCGCAAACGAAGATAGATGTAGAAGTTTATGGGCCGCAGCAACCACTTACCATCAGGTGGACTGTGTGCTCGTTTGTCACCCTTATTCTATAAAAAAAAAGGTAAGGCTGTAGTTTCAGAGATATGGAGATAAAATAAAATAACCCAAATTGCTTGAATGACAATGAGGACATCCACAACTTTTTCTGCCACCAGGGCGGTGCTACTTAAAAATGAGCTATAAATGTTTGAATGATTTTAAAATTTAATTTCTTGAAATGTTTGATTTCAAGAAAGAAAATGTAAGGGTTAATGTTCATTTCTGTAATGTTACTTATATTTTATATTATGTAGATTAGCAGTGAACAAACTAAATCACAGATATTAATAAAAAAGAGTTAAAAATGTGCAAAAAAATTAAAAAGCAAACCAGTGGTTTGCTTTTTAATTTTTTTGCACAGGCATTGTTTTGTGTATTAATATAATACTCTAGAGACTGATTTTTTTTATTTAAAACGAATTTTACAATTAAATGATGCTGTGTAACAAAAAACTTCACCTCAGTGTCAACTAGCGACATCTGGTGAGCAAAAGATTATTAGTCCTCATTGTTTCATGCCTTTAAGCTTTTGTTTGTTTTTATTAAAATTTTATTTCGTTTTTATTACTTCCTAAAACTTGATTATATATAAGTTTAAAAGAGTTAAAAAAAAAACTTTTTTTTTGCTTGAAGACCTAGCACGCAGCATTCTACACCGACGAGTGGAAACGGGTGGAGGTGACGGTGCCCGTGCGTTGTTGGCGGACGTTCATCTCGCCTTGGGAGAGGTGGCCCTTGAAAGCGAGACATATGATAAAGCTGTGATTGATATGAGTAAGGATTTTAAACATTAAATAATCATTGTTAAAAACAATTGATTGTCTTAATAAAACTTCTTACGTGGTAGAGCCATGCTGCAGCTATATTTCTGGTATAGTTGTAGCACGAAAATTTCGTATGGTGATTGTAAAGAACCGGAGACCCTTATTACTGGAAAAGGGGCATTCCATCTTAGTCCTCACGGGTGACAACACATCTGCAGTTTGATTCGTCATCAAGGATATATGTAGATGCCTATCGATCACAACAACCACTTACCACCAGGTGGACTGTGTGCTTGTTTGTCACCCTTATCCTATAATAAAAAAAAAATAATAATAGTTTTGCTTGTTCAATGTGGATTTACAATTTTAACTTTATAATGGATCAAAAATGTTATTTTAATGTTGCTTTTTACACTCTTTAAGTGAATTTCTTCATTATTAAGTTGAATTTGTAGATTAAATGTAACAAATAATGAAAGAAATACACTGTTATGTTAAATTGTTATCCAAAATATATTTTAGCAGATCTTTTTCTAAGTGGATATTCTTCGTCTTCTAATTTGAATTTGTAGATTGATTGTTTTATGTAGTATATCTGGGTTATTTCTTTGTTTTCTCCATAGAGCAAATATTTTTTTCATTCAAGCTATATCTGCTACCACTAAACATCTAACTAACAAATTAAAAAATAAACAAAATAAAATTATAATGTGCAGGCATAGCCACAATGGTCCTAATAATTGTTCTTGAAAAAAAATTAATCTGTTTTGTTTTCGAGGAGAAAACATAGGATGTGGGGTAATGATTTCGTCCATTTTATGGGTACAAGTAGTAGAAGCTGCAGTTGTTTTTCTCAGTTCATTTGGACCATCACAACATCAATATTTCATTCAAATTCTGGTACTCGTTTATATTGATAGGTGGCGCTGTGATCGAGTTAGTAATAAATTTTATATATTTACTATTTACTACTTTAGCTAATTATTCGTACAACATAATACATTATTGCGAACTGTTTAAAAACATTCAGCTTCGTTTCTTGCTAATTTTCATATTTCTTTTTCTATTTAAACAGTGAGCTGTTTAGAAATTCAAAAGAAGCTCTATGGAAGTGACGATCGGCGTATCGCCGAAACCCATTATCAAATTGGTGAGTAATTTTGTTTGGAAATGTATATTGCAGAAACACTATAATGTCATCTTTTTTATCATTATAAATAATTAAATTATTGATTAACAAATACAAAGAAATGAATTACTAGCGTCTATTAAAATAATATTTCTATCATGGCAAGATAAGAAAAAGTGCGAGGGTGATAGATATTATTCCATCTCGCTCGCACTATAGAAAGGGGGTTGTGACGGAAAAATCTTACACTTTTTCTCGCCTAGCTACCATCCGTCAAATTCGCACCGTGCGATAAGGAACTTCGTTCCAAAAATTATAGCTACTTAATGTATTAGAATAAATTTTCTACTCTAGCTTATGTCTATTTGTTGGATGTCAGAAATTATAGGCAATGTTCACTTTGATTGAATGAATTTTTTAGAACGTTAACACCAAACAGTTACCCCCACTGTTTATTTGATTAGATTTAGAAATTATTATATTGAATTAGCATGAATGAAGATGGGACAAACTTCGAAACACTAGTGACTATATGCAAAGGAAGTCTAAGAAGCTTATACTTACTTATACACCTACTAAACAGGAGCTTTTCATGTGGTAGAACCAAGCTGCAGCTATATTATGGTTGTAGCATGAAAACCAGTATAAAAATTAACAGCTTAATGCTGCATAGTCAGTGTAGAAAAATGGAGACCCCATTTTACTGGTAATGATTCTATCTTAGTCCTCAGTGGTGATAATGCATCTACATTTTAATTCTTAATGGACGATAGATGTAGGCTTATATAGACCCATAGTACGGTCACAGCATCCACTTATCGTCAAGCACACTCTGTGCTAGGTTGTCACAATTATTCTATAAAAAAGAAATTTCTTTAGGGGCTTTTCAGACGTTAGTCGCTGAATTGAGTGTCCAATAAAAGTTTTTAGTATATGTTGAGGAACCAGTACTGGGAATAGGCATAGTTGTTGTAGTAGGACGAGAGATGTTGGTCTGACAAGTGTGTCATGCAAGGTCACATGTGATATGTAAGAAAGTTCTGACATTATTTTTAATTAAAGTTCCAAAAATATACTTTGCCAATATCCGCTCAATAAAATAAAGTGTCTTACCTAATTTGAAGAGCATCTCCTGCCCTCCCTCAATTGCGTGCATTAGCCCCGCCACCACTAATCCCAGCACCACTACTCTCACCACCACTACTCTCACCACCACTACACTAGGAAAGACACACTACCGATGATAATACAACACGTGTTTCGCCTCTGCACAAGGCATCCTCAGGTGAAATAGACTGCGGTGGCTGACCGCTAAGTATGCTAAGAACTTGAGTGGATATTGGCAAAGTAAATTTTTCCAACTTTAATATAATGGATTTCTGCTGGTGCTGGTGGTACACCATCAGATAAAACTTGTCGGAGTTGACTAAAACCGGTAATAGCGGTAAAATAAATGTGATAAACACCTTACAAAATTTATCTAACACTAAAACATCCACATTTGTTTCATTTGCATCTGTCTGACTAAAGAGAACTGGCTAGTAAGAGTTTTCAGTTTTCTTACAGACAGATAATTTAAAGCTTAGGTCAAGTTACTCATTGCATAGCATATGTCTCCTTTTATTGCTGAGAGAATAATCGTAGCAGGAGTGTGCCATGTTGCTACTCTGCGAGTTGGTGGAATTTACGCGTTTTCAATAAATTTTTGATATTCTAAACATGCATTCTTCCTTATAATATTTTCTTTTACTGCCAATTTGTGGTGAATCAGCATTTTTAATGTAGTTTACAATTTTAGTTGTGCTTGAATAAATCTTACTCGGTTAGTTTGGGTGTCGCAAAATTTGCAGCAACCTGCCCAATAATAATGTCTATCTATTTGTGTTTATTTCGATCAATTTTTTGTTTACAGGTTTGGCCAACTCCCTTGCCTCAAACTTCGAAGATGCCATAATGCATTTCAAAAATGCAGCGAACATTTTGGAGACAAGAATCAAAATTTTGGAGAATCCAAAAGCAGTTACTGAAGATGCTACAGTCAAGAAGTATACTTCGGCTGACCCACTTTATTCCATTGAAGGCGAGATAAAAGAATTAAAGGAATTGTTGCCAGAAATACAGGAAAAAATACAGGATATGATGGACTATAAAGCAGAGGTAAGACCATGTGAATGCCTTGAGGAAACTAGAAAAATGCTTAGAGGTCTAATGTTAAAGGAAAAAAATCGTACCATGGTTGATGTACAGATGCAAATGTGATTTTTCGTATCTCTGATATAAATTACCGTTCTAGTTAACATTCCTTAATGATAACTATGTAATTTAATAATTAAGTTAATGCCTTTAAAAGTTGTGATAAATTGTTTGTTCCTAATTAACATGCCAAAATTAATAATTTCATAATTTTGTTAAAAAAATCAGTATTAATTGATAAAACCACCCCGCTAAAGTATTTTGCTACACTATGGGAAAATAAGTGATTTTAAGAAAATAATGGATCCATATGTAATATTCCAAATTTAAAAGAAAAATTTTAAATTTCTAACATATTTAACACTTATTTTACAACTGTGGCAGCTTTATTCGCACTGCTAAATGAATACTTTATAACTTGGACAGTCCGAATGTTAAACTGGACTGGTGGAAACTGAATAGATTTACTTACGTTCGACATGGTGTATCAATGTGTTAAGACTGTGCCTTATAAATCTCAAGTTGCATTTAGAATACTCATAGTTGATAAGTGCCTTAGTTTTTAAGATTCTCATTCTTTACCTGTAAGTGATTTTTACCACAAGGCCATTTTTGTATTGCGTTTATACTTTTTTTTTATTTATAATAAAATTGAACAAGAAAACACATGTGTATTATTTCATCATACCCAATACAAGAATGACCATGTGATTTATATGATATTTAAAAAATGTTGCCAGTGGTCTTTCATACAAAATTATATAGTTGCCAGCATCTGTCTTTCCATCTGATTACAATGTGGGTGTTCTTCAAGGAAAGAGTGAATAGGCTTTTGTTAAGTCAGTGCACTTCACCATCTTAGGCTACATCACCACTTACCATCAGGTAGGAGTCTAGTTAAGCGCTGGCTTAGAATGATATATAAAAAAATGGTGAGTTTAGAGAACCGCCGGGCCGGCTCGAACCGGGGTGGTACCACGATCTCACAGAAAACCAGCATGAAGTAGCGGTTTACCTCTGTGTTTCACTTGGTGAGTGCAGGTGGCCGGAGACCCTTTTTACTGGAAATGAGGCATCCCACCTTAGTCCTCACGGGTGACAATGCATCTGCATTTTGATTCGTATTCGAGCATAGATGTAGATGTATGTCTATGGCCACAGGATCCACTTATCATCAGGTGGACTGTGTGCTCGCTTGTCACCCTAATCCTATTAAAATTACCTTTGCACTGGTAGTGCTGCTCCCAATCACCAGCCTATGAGATCTGGTTTCAATAGATATTCCACTATTTTTCGCTTCAAGTCTCATCAGTTAATTATAAGGGTGCACCACAAACAGGCAAACAATCCCATACATTCTTCATGTGACTAGTATTTATAAAACTTTTCAAATATTTATTTGAAAAGTTTTAAAAATATAGTTTTACAAACTTTTAAACAAATAAATAAAATAGACACATTCAAGGCATATTAAAAATTGCATTAACAGCTGTATACAATGTACACCATTAAAATGAAAAACTATAGAACACAAAAGTATTGTTCTAACAGGATGCTCCTTGAATTTGCAATAAACATTGTGTAAACTTCTAAAAATAAAAATATTAAGAAATATTAACAAAAAATTGGGTCTTCTGCCCAGAAAAGGAAGTGTAAAAGAAACCTTAGATATCCTATTTTAATTCTTTGCAATTTATTCAATATTAATTATCAAAAACGTAAAGGAATATACCCATAGGTAATCAAAGCATGCTCTATAATAAAATTACACAAAAAAAATCAAAATTAAAGCCAATAAATATAATGCAAACCTCGGCAGAACTCCCTCCACATGCAGCACCTGTTCACAAGTAGGACGCTAAGATATATATTATGATAGTATATGAAGAACTACAGAAGCTATTAAACGGTTCAGTGCGGATGGCACGTGCGTGCCATCGATTATTTTTGTGTGGCGTATGACCCGCGAGTCGTGTCTTTTTTTTTAAATCGTTATAACTCGCTCAAATTGCCATTTTGGAAGATTTATCCAGAACAAAATATTCATTATTTTGCAAGTAGTTCATGCCTACAGCTTTGTTTCTGGATGTTTTGAAAATGAAATTTTTAGGGTTGACAACTTTTTTTAACTTATACGTGGTACTCTTTTTACTTTGCGGGTTTTAAATCATGTTGTGGAATAATAGTCTAATAAGTAACAAATAATAGCTCTCATTGCGATCGCTCACAAACTCGAGTCATAAATAAATTTCTGAAAAACAAATCTCCTGTTACAAAAAAAACAATGTGTTTGTATTATTGTTTAATTTTGCTTAAAATGGTTGAATTGCTAGTGCTTGTGTCAGGATCAACGGGGCCTACTCGGACTGGTTTGGCATCCATAAAGGTGTCAGACAGGGCTGTGTGGCTTCCCCGTGGTTGTTCAACCTATTTATGGACAGTTGTTTGGAAAATTTGAAAGTAGAAGATGCGGGTTAAGAATAGGTGAGTTAACCGTCAAATGCCTTTTGTACGCCGATGATCAAGTCATACTTGCGTCGTCGGCAGTCGAGTTGCAAATGATGGTTACATTAATGAACAGGACATTAAAAGAAAAGGGAATGAAAGTGAACGCAAGTAAGACGAAAGTTATGGTTTTTGAAAGAGAAGAAACTAAAACGATATGTGAAATAAGAATAGAAGGGGAGTTGGTAGAGCAAGTAGATGAGTTTGTATATTTGGGATGTGTGTTTAGCGGGGATGGTAGATATGATAAGGATATAGAACGACGAGTGAATGCAGGAAATAGAGTGAATGGGGCTCTACACTCTATTGTCAAAAGTCAGAATGTGTCCAAAAAGGCACGTATGGCAATTCTCAATGCTGTGTTAGTACCTACTTTAATGTATGGTAGTGAAAGTTGGGTGTGGCAGAAGAAGCACGAGAGTAGAATAAATACTGTAGAAATGCGGTCATTAAGGAGTATGTTAGGGATGAATCTGAATGACAGAGTGAGAAATTGTTTAATAAGAGAAGAGTGTGGTTTGCAAGATGATGTTGTGACCAGGATTAAGAAAGGAATGCTTCGGTGGTTTGGCCATGTAGAAAGAATGAATGAGGAAAGAGTGACAAAGCAAATTTATGTTGCATAGGTGAACGGCATAGTCGGGAAAGGTCGCCCTAGGCGAAAGTTTATCGACCAAATTGGCAATATATTAAAAATGGGCCAAATCAAGAGTACCTTTAACCGACGAGCGTGTATGCGTAGGTATATGGATGTGGAGGAAGCGAGAGAGGTGTGTCAGGATCGTGCCAAATGGAAGTCCATAATCTCTGCCTACCCCTCTGGGTGACAGGCGTGAGTGTTTATGTATGTATGTATGGTTGAATTGCCGTCTTATTACTGTCATATGGCCGAATAGACCTACGAAGTACCATGTGCTCTTGTGGTATGGTATAAGGTTTATTTTTGCTTGAAACAGTTCGAAACCGTTCATGCATAAAAAAAGTTCGCTAATAAATAGCCATTTGTCAATCCGCCGCCGAATAGCGCCGGCGTTTTTTTTCCTTTTGAAAACACTTGTGTGCTATTCTTACTAATTAGACGTTTTCAGATCGACTTTACTTTTACATTTGTATAACATTAAATAATATTTAACATTTGTAAATATCAATGAATCATAAATCTTATTTTTTTTTTTCAAATTAAGGTTCGGTTTGGTTTTTTGATATTTACAAATGTTATTATTAGGTGAAAATTTAATTTAATAAAAACCAAGGTTTTCCAGGGTGATTTAGCTGTACCTACTTATGTAAATTATTTTTTTATAAAACAAAAAATAGTACAAAAGGTTTGTAATCTCTGAATAAAAAAGTCACTTACTCTCAATTGCAAAGAAAACACGTAGAAAAACACGTAATTACCCACTACAAACAAGTATCTTTTGTTTTGTTTGTAACTGATGTTTGATGTCATCTAAACTTAATTAGGTCTAAACAAAACTTAAAAAAGCATAAAAAATGTGGCGCTTGACACGCAAGTCGTGTCATGAAATATTTGTTCGCCGCCACAGCTAAAAGTTGCCGAAAATCGGTGCCGCAACGAATCGGTTAATTTTAGTATTTTAACCATCTTAGAAAAGGAGGAGGTTCTCAATTCGAGTCTGTTTTTTTATGTGTGACACGATTTCATCACAGATTGTGAACCAATTTTGATGATTCTTTTTTTATTAAATAGGGTAGTCCCATATAAATTTGGAAAAAAAAATTCACCCCTAACGGTAGCAAATGAATAACTTCTTTTTAGCAATTTGAAGTCTGTATTTACTTTTTGTTTACAGTTATAATGATGGAGGTTCTGCTGGATCGAGACTATTTCAATGTATTCACTCTAAAATAATTCAGATCATAATATTTCACTACATTTCAAACTTTGTATTCCTTTTAAAAATGCTTAAAAAGGGAGGTAATTGGAGCTAGAAGGATCTTCAGCTTATTAGTCTGATGTTGCAGAAGATGCAATACTTGGTCCAAATAGCAGGAATACATATTAACTTCCCACTAGGAAGTCGGATTAGCAAAGTTCAAATTTTGACATAACGTGAAAGCCTATATACGTCCCATTTCTGAGCACAGGCATCCTTTCACTTTGAGATGGTTTTAGGCCAAGAAAGTGTCCGCCGCGCTGCCCCAATGCGTGTTGGCGGCCTTCACGTTTCTTTGAAATATTTTTTTTATTTCTCAGACATGCAGGTTTCCTCACGATGTTTTCCTTCATCGCAGAGCACGTGTTAAATCAGCACTTATAATTGTAATTAACAATTTCTTTGGTGCCGGCGGGGATCGAATCCTGGTTGCTCGCGTACTGTGAAATTTACAGCAAGCGTTAAGGCCCTGAGCTGCAAAAACGTCTCTGACATAATATGTCAACATTGAAAGGTCTCATATGATTATAATTTAATGGTACCTTTTTATACTTTCCTATGTTATACTATCCTAATTTATACTATTCCTGCAAATTTGTAATGTGGACTTCCATGTTGCGCCCAATTTTTCATAAGTCTACAGTGTGATATAGGGTTTTCTCATCAAAAGGCTTGCTGTCATCGCTGTGTGTTTACAATTTCATTAGATATTTTGTGCCTTAAAGGGAAAATTAAAAAGTCTGCCTTCCAAATACTAATATCTATCGGAGGCTCCGTGGGCGCTTTAATGGTTTAGATTCTCTTATGCTGACACTTAAGAATAAATTAATTTTACTACATATTTTTTCAAAGTGCTTACTTTTGTCATTCCAGACCATAAAACGAGTTCGGGAGACACTGTGCCCATCGAATGGTGAAAGTTCGTCGCTAGTAACCACAGCGAGTTCAAGCACTGCTGAACCGAAACCGGCTGCGTCCGACATCTCCCATCTGATCAAGAGGAAGAGGAAGGCTAGCGACGGCGAAGCTGACCCAGCCCCGAAACGGGTCAATACGTGAATTGTGAAGTGATTTTTAATTTGAACTCTATACCCTGACAATTAACGGTGAATTTTAAACAGCGTACATGACAACGCCGGAAGATGGTCAACAGTTAAGAATAATTACAAATACAAATAATTATGCGTTTAACTTCCATCGTTTTTCGGGCACTTTTCACACACACACATACATAAGTTGTGTTTATATATAATATAAGAATTTCTCATTTTGGGTAATATCAGATATCAGCATAGAGCAACAAGGGCCACCGGCGGGCCGGAAGGGAGTAGTCATACGTAGGCGTTCCCCTCTGTTAAAGTATAAGTCCACGCGGTTCTATGCGTACAGTAAAACTAGTTGCAGCTGCACTCCTCACTAGACTAAATTTAATTGCGCGTCTGAATCGATGTCCTACAAAAATTACCGAATTGTTCAGTACTTTGCTGCAAAAAGAGATCTGCCACGTCAAATTTAAAATAAGATGGCGTTACCTTTCATATGTAAGTAATTCTAATGACATTATTACTATTTACTTCTTTTTTAATTTCAAAATTACAATAATAGCAGTTGTGTTGTTTCGGATCTGTTTACCAACACAGGCATCTCGCCCTCATACATTTGGTCCAGCGACTGTTCAGAGTCTGTATCCGAGTTGTTACTGTCACCGAGCGATAGTTTTGATATACGCGTTTGAAAATAGTTATCGATAAAAATGGCAAAGGCTGGTCTATACAGCAATATCACTGTGCATATAATAATCTCAAAAATTGTTTTCTGATTTATTTAATTTTTATTGTGAGCTTTATTTTAATACAATTTAATATTACAATTTCATCAAATTAAATATAATACAATACTTTCGATTATATTAAAATTACTAAGTGTGAACTTCGACCATATTGTTTTTTTATTTATTTATTGCAGGTTTCCTAAAGATTAGAGTTTAAGGGATATATGAAGGTACTTTTGTAATAACAGCCATACCTGACTTCTCACAAGAAACAGTGGTGTCATTTCCTCAGATCATTTCCAAACCTCTGACTTTCAAGTGTCGGCGAACAATAGTCAACTTTATTACCACACTGTATTATTGTTCCGTAAGCTTTTTTTTTACATCATGGAGAAGGCAAACTAACATACAATCAACCTGATGGTAAGTAAACTGTGGCACATGGACATTTACGATCGCAGTGCCATCAAACCTATCCCAATATGTAATGCCTCATACCACCCGTTAAATGTTGAATATGGTTAGTCATAGTTGTGAAATGAAGATGAGATTTCTGAGACTTCAAAAAATGTACAATGTGAGGCATCAATTATCATTTACTCTACCAGACAGACAGACTATCATCTTACGATTCCATAAGTGCCACTCTCACTATTCCTGATTATGTAATAAATAATTATATATTAATACAAAACCAACAAAATGCCCTGAAATATATGCAACTCTCCACAGAATAAATCAAGAACAAATCGAGCTCTATTTTTCAATTTTAAGAAGTTATGGCGGTTATTCCGATAATCCCTCAAGCACCCAGTTTGAAGCAATTTATAAATAAAAAATCTTGTTAATACAATTAACACAAACTGAAAGCGAAACAATCTGCATTCCATTGGAAATTATTTCGGTACTGAATTACACATCTGCATTTAGAAACAAGTGGTAAAATAAAAAAAAATTTAAAAACCGCTCTACCGATTTCGATACAATTTAAACGGAACCACCTGAGAAGTATATCCTTTGAAACAAAAAAAATAATTTTTGAAAAAAAAAAAGATGATGCTACTGACGATGTCAATTTTACTAATTTTATGAGATTAAAGCTCTAACTTTTTTATCCCCGAGAAAGTTGTAAAAGATATAGCTGGATATATATTTATTCGAGATCAAAAAAAAAGTTAATCGCAATACGTGTATCAAAGGTTTGCTCGGATCGATTGACAAAAAAGCTTAATACATCAAATAAAGCAGAGGAAATGTGTTTTACGCTTCAAAAGATGTAGATAATACTTTTATGCCGGATTTGTGAAAAAGAAATTAAACAACTTTTAAGTGACGACAATAAACACCTACACGGTCTTTTCCCAAATCGAGTTTCAGAATTTATCGGTAATGCGTATCCACAGTTGTTACAGCCACGGCGGTATGCAACTTGTCAATGTAGTTGCGTCACTTCATTACACTGTTATGACACAGAATGTATATGTGTGTGAAATTTGTTAGTGTCATATTTTAATTGTTGTGTGAGTTTCGTAGTGCGCATACTCCCCTCCGAAAAGATTAACAGACAATTCGGTATCGGGAAATAACGCTATGGCTAGTGGCTACTCCCCTCCGGTACGCCGGTGGCAAGTGTTGCTCTATGGATGTCAAGGTGAAAGTCAAGTAAAAGTGTAATTAATTCGAGATGTATGTATTTAAATGATCCTTATGTCTAAAATCTACCATCCGTTCTCAAAGTGTGATCTCTGCAGTGAAGAACCAGGAAAAAATGTGGTCATAGTTGTTTCTCTTGTGTTTTCAATTGGTAATTCCATTTTATATACATAACAATTGAATGTATTTGTATTAGTATTATAATTTATTTTATTGTGTCTGTCAATCATTAGTACAGAAAGAATTGTATATTTTGATTACTGTTACAGAAATACGTGAATACGTTTATGGAAGCTGCCTGATGGAAATTAAGATGAATCTCACAAACTTAAAAGATACTATTAAATAGAATATAAGCACTATTTTAAATAACAACATACATATTATGTCAACTGCCGGGCACAAGCTTCTTATATTTTACGTTACGTTCTACAAATATAATGTTTATTCTTATAACAGAAATTATTAAAGTCGCGTTTATCAAAACTCACTATAATGCGATTGAGTTAACAGCCCACCGGATAAGTTAGTACTGCAGTACATTGACACTTGCACTCGAAGCAAAAAAGGTTACAGAATGATTGTCAACCCTGAGGACTAAGATGGAATGCTTCATGATTTGTAATAAAATAGTTCTTCATATATTTTAATCGGAACCTCACAATCTCACAACAAAAGTTCCCAGCCAATTATATTAAGTGTTATTTTTATGTTACGTTTGTCCTCAAGGATGACGACCCATTTCTTCGTTTGTTGTTGGTTATGGGAAGACGACTACAAGCACTGTGAGCACATTTACCACTCATATAATTTAAAAAAAAGAAGACTGTATTCTGTATTAATCTGCCTTGAGAATGAACATGGAATAATGTGACTATTTGTATGTATGAATGTACTAATGAAGCGCCGTCAATTATTTTTCGTTTCATTGCAGTGGTAATAAGTATAATATAATACGTGTTGTTAAGTGCCCAAATCGGTCACAATTAACCTTTACCATGGCGGATATGTTTACTTTTAATTTTTTTGTTTAATAATCTATAGTTCTGAAATTATTAAATTGAAGTCATCTTAACTTTATGCAGACCACCACTAACCCAGAGTTTCCGAGTTGAAATCTTAGCCCTCAGTCGGAGCCTTTCTAACACTGCTCCAGATTTACATAATATTATATTTGAAGACTAGCTGTTCCCCGCGACTTCGCTCGCGTGTTAGGGTTTTTAAGTTTTTGCACGGAACCTTAATTATTTTTCTAAAATAAAAGTAGCCTAAGTTACTCCCTATGAAATCAGCTATCTGCCAGTGAAAGTCCCGTCTAAATCGGTCCAGCCGTTTCGGAGATTAGCCGGAACAAACAGACAGGCAGACAGACAGACAAAAATTTTAAAAATTGTATTTTAGTTATAAGTACCGTATTTACTTTCATATGCATTTAGTGAAAAACTGTAATTTTGACATTACAAACAGACCCTTCAATTTTATTTATTTGTATAGATATTTAGGACTTCCCGGAGCATGTCCCTAATACATCTTTAATATCTTGTGCGCTATAGCTTCCGTAGATTCGAAAGTTGTCTCCGTGGCTGAAAATCGGCGAGGTGGACGACACTAGAGTTTTTTCACAATTTAAAGTTAGCAAAATGTAGAGTTTTGTGATTAATATCAATTTCAAATGAGAATCCACTAACAATTTAAATAACTTTTATAACGAGCCCGATTTATTTAATTTTTAATCTTATTTATATAATAAAACGTTGCATTTTACGTTTAAATGTTATACGCCAAAATGGCAATTAAATAAGGTAGATTAAAGGTATGGAGACGATCGAAAATATTTTAGTAGATTTATATAGTGTGTTTATATTTGCTTGTGCGTCAAAGGAACTTGTGGCCTTAATTGTAGTTGTTTCTTATTTTTTGTTTTTGAATGGTTTACTATTCCTTTGCCGCCACAAGTAGCTGACTGAATTAGGTATAAGCCGGGCGTTTCGAATTAATTCTATGTTAAATTGTGAATATATAATATGTACGTAACAAGCTATTTAAGTTCTAAAGTTAGGATACTTTGTAATTATAAACATTGTGACAACTTAAATAAATGTAATTTCTTTTCATAGTACGATCTGTAATTGAATGTCATTATGCAAAAATTATCCAACCAACATTGTTCAATTTAAAGTGTGTACTATCAAATACTTAACAACAGTTGTATTGAGTTTATAATATAAAAATATAAACAATAGTATTCGATCCAATTCAAACTCGGAACGTCACTTCATTGTCTGAATATTATATATTTAGTCCAGATGGAATCGCTGCGTGAGTATCGAAACTTCCATCTCAATTTTTTTATGCGATTCTCTTTAAATTGTCCTACTTATGATATAAATGCATGTTACCATGGTGCAACTCATGCCATAATGTTTAAACAGTTTTTTTGTAAATTGCAAGAAATTGTTATTTTCAAACGGGACATTTTTTTATATTTTTTGATGAAATACGAATTAAAAACGTCCCATCACTTTTTACGATAAAGTTAATTTGAAGAGAATCGCATTAAAAATTGAGGTGGAATAGTTTTCGGTAGTCATGCGCAGATCCTCCTGGACTAATTATGCCAAAATAAGACATAATGTGTTATAATAATTGTAGTTGCACTAAATGCAGTTCCAAAAACGTTGTATCTGAAATGTAGCCTTTTCTCTGTTGATTTTTTTACCCAACTATGCCCAAGTGAAACATTGTTTATCGATATTGTTTAATTAGTTTTAATTATAATGTAAGTAGTATAATATGTGTTTTTAAATTACACCAGATTTTCAATAATTCTTTGACTTATTTCATTATCATCGTCATCATCATTACAGCCCTTTTATTAGTCTACTACTGAACATAGCCCTTTCCCAAGGAATGCCACAAAGCACGGCCCAGAGCCACATGCATCTATCGACTTCCAGCGTTTCTTACCAGGTCGTCACTGCGTCTAGTTGGGGTCGTCCTACAATTCGTTTACTGACTTGATTGAATGATTTTATTAGGTCTTATCTGGACATCAGCAAATTTTCCTCTATATACATATCAACCTACGTTATATCATACGTGGTATGGTTGTAGCACGGTGGGTTGGCTCGACGGGGGAAGGACCACGCTTTCACAGAACACCTACGTAAAATACAGCTTGATGCTGCTGTGTTTCGTATGGTGAGTGTAGAGAACCAGAGAACCTTTTTACTGGAAAAGAGGCAACTCCTTTACGGGTGACAACGCATCTGTATGGCCCACAGCAACCACTTACCATCAGGTGGACTGTGTGCTCGTTTGTCACCCTATCCTATAAAAAAAAACCAGTCGAATTGAGTACCGTCTCCATTTTTAAAGTCGGTAGAACAGTAAAACTTGCTGGTTTATATCCAGTTGTAGACTTAATAATGTCGTTGATTATTTGTGTGATTTTTCTTGTTAAGGTATTGCTTCACTGTAGTATAGTAGCGACAAAAGGGAATTCTTGATCCCATTTAATCCCGTTGTGTCGACGACTCTTTCCTTAAAATGCCGCTCGTGGCAATAGCCCATGGCCATAGTACGTCTGTTCAGTAAGTATTGTACTCATGGTGAAGTAAGTAATAAATAAGTATTGTATAATAAACAAATATATTGAACTATTCTATATTATGCTTTATCTCCCATCTATTATCTAAAATTCTAAAAGATAATTATTGAAAGGAATTGGCCATGAAGAAATCATATCTACATCTATTATCATACTGTTAGCTAATCAACTAAATAAATAGGTAGCCAACAGAAGTCGCCTCGGTGATCTTATCGCCAACAGTCGACTTATATAGAATATTATATAAACGGCGACTTATGAGTCACCGGCAGATATTTTATGACTGTTGCTCGATATTTCGAAAGTAAAATAATACTATATAATATACTAGAAACCCTACCCAGCTTCGTCTGGATAGTATCTGTTAATGAGGCGTTATATAGATTTAATATAAAGAGTATTTATTCAATCAAGTTTTTTTAATCCTTCCCAACATAGCGCTTTATTTTTTCGTAAAGTTTTATCATAATCGGTTCAGCCGCTCCGAAGATTAGCCGGACAGACAGACAAACAAACAAAAATGTTAAAAATGGCTATTTATGGCTTAATAGCTTGCAAATACCCTGAGGCCTGAGCCAGTTATTTCGATATTACAGACGGATAAGGACGGATACTTCAATTTTATTTACACCTATAGATAAATAATATACCTACATACATTTGAATTATATTTTAGACTAGCTGTGCCCGCGGCGTAGCTCGCGTATATAGATTTTACATAAAGAATTTGTCGTTTAGGTAAGAGAATATTAAACGATTTATATCATTACTGTATCAATAAGTGGTAACAATTAAATCATTATCATCAAAGTTCTAAGTAGTTTATGATAGAGCTTCTGTGTAAACGACGTTAGAAGTAAACTTAGACGGGTTGTACACAAAAAGGTTACGGGGGCTACTAACGCGGGAAAAAGCAACATAGAGTTGGCCATGTGCAAAACAGTCAGTACTGAGGTCCACTCTTACAACGCGTAAATTTTGACCTTGCGCTTTATTTACGGTCATCGCATAACACACGCTGACTGTAACTGGGAACTGAACGCGCTTAAAACTGAAAGGAAAGTTACTTCTTAATAGAGGGTTTTTTGGCAGTGCTGCCAGATCAAAAAACTCATTCAGCGCTAGGACAACACAAAAAGCGCTAGATTTCATGAAAACAGCGCTTTAAAAAAGCCCTAGATTTCGCGCTAAAGTCACTACAAACAAACTTTGTGTTTTTTATTATAATTTATAATTCAAGAAAATATAATCATAATAAAGAAAACAACATTAAGTTTTTTTCTGGCAATATTTTTTAATGTATCAATACTTCGCAGGACATCGACTTATAATTATGGCAATTGCTATCAACAGTAGTTAGTACTACTCTAAGTAACTTTTAACTTAGCTGTGCTCTAAACAACTGACTAAAACTGAATAAAGCAAAATAAATGCGTTGCCAAAACCATGAACGAAAACTTTAATGAAGGGGATTTCCCCGCTTATAGTCGTCGATAAAAAAAATCAAGTTGATCATCCTAAAGGGGAAGCCGGGAGATCCATAGCACAGGGTATCCTAGTTTGGACTCGTCTCCCATGCTCTTTGTTTTGTGGAAAAGATATGTTTGAAAAAGATAAACTGCAATGTACTATTTGTGGAAAAAAATAATAAAGGTCATTATTATTATTATCGGTAATGTGGACTAACAGTGCTGCTATAAAAGAGTTGATAACCCGCTAGTCGCTACAATTTTGAAATGTGTGCTAAATACACCAAAAAGCGCTGGATTAAGTGCTAGGTGCTCAAATTTCGAAATGCGCGCTATACATTCAAAAAAGCGCTAAATCTAGTTCCCAAAGCGCTAAAATGGGAGTACTGATTTTGCGTATATTATAAATACAATATCACGACATTTCGTTGCAATTTTGTTATTTTTGTTCGGGTTCCGTTGTATGGCTTCGATAGATACAAATTTCTTCAGTAAGTATCAATACGATTCATCGGCGAAAAATCTCAACACAGCAAATCAGAAAAGTTTGTAATTTGTACAACTCCATCTATTACGTCCTTTGTGTGAGAAAACATCCTTTTTTAAATCTCTTTTTATGTTTTAAGTATAAATATATTAATTATTATGGAACGTTTTTTTTTTACACACAAATATTTTTATTACTATTTCTGAGATTTTTATGGCGCCATTGAACAAATTCGAACCTACATTTTAAAATAATAATCATTACTTTCGATAGAATTAACCAATTTTAATAAAACAAAGATTAAATGTAACTTGAAGATACGCTTTATGATTTTCTTAACGATTTCTTTGAAAAAAAAAGTTGTTTACTTTAGACGTGATGCATTCATATAAAAACAGACAGACAGACAGACAATTCTAAAAATTATAAAAATGTACTTATTTAATTATTTTTAGTTCCCCGTAATGATTTTAGTCACCAAAATATATATACAATGTACAGAAAGAGGCACAACATGTTATCATCATTTTTATTATATGTATATATTTAATTAAAGAGAGATGGCGCTGCTAACATCAACTTGATGACTCAAACAAAGCCACCGTTGAGCAAATTCCCTACCCATACTTCAGAATATTTATCATAACTTTTGATGGAATGAACCGATTTTAATGAAATAAAGACTAAATGTAACCCGAAGGTACACTTTAGAATTTCCTTAACAATTCTTATGATATAAATTAGTACTTTAAACGTGATACGTTAACAAACAAACAGACAGACAGACAGACAGACAGACAGACAGAAAATTCTAAAAATGGTAGAAATGTATTTAGTTACTTATTTTTAGTACCCCTCAATCACTTTTATTACAAAAATATAAAATGTACAGACATCTGCTATTTACAGTTTTATTATATGTATAGATATCTTTTGTGAAATTATAGCCACTTTTAAAAATCGATTTTGGATTGTCGCTAGAGCCATTTTTAGTTTTTAATTCTTTCATATTTTCTTCTCTGTACTAATTTAAAAAAAAATGTATTATGTAAAACAACGTCTTCTATCATTAAACAATGCTGTGCATACCTTTAATTTAAATGCATGTGTATAATGTATTTTTCAAAAATCGTGATATTATAAGTTCCTTTTATGTATTTAGGTAAGGCTTATGAAAAAATAAAAAAAAATTTGAATGTCTTTGTCGATAAAGGAAAACCTAAAGTCTGCGTGTCTAAGAAATTCAAAACATTATGTACCTAATATTAAACCTTACAATTAAATTAAAAATTCAATCACGAGTTTAGATAAATAGGTACCTATAATTATTTGTAAAATCATTGCTTCATAACCAATCAGATAATAAACAGTGATTGGATTGTAGGGAATTTGATATCGATAGATAGTAATCGGAACCTATGCTTATAACAAACACAATAAATTTAAAATACGTAAGCAATTACATCACCTTCCTATTTATTATATTTGCACATTTAAGTTTTTTTTTATTTAAATAAAGAAGTATTTGATAGAAATTTAAAAAAAAGAAAATTAAATTTTTAATGAAATTTTTAATTTAGAACTTTAATCACAACTTTAGGTCATATCCTTATGTATTGATTTACAAAAAAATATATGTATAATCAAGTAACAGTACATACTATAAAGCACGTAAAAGATGTATAAAACATAATACCTATTTAAATTTTTACGATAGCTTTTCCGAAGTTATTACCGGCCAACATTCCAATAAATGCATCGTATATTTTATCAAATCCTTCTGTTATGTATTCTCTTGTTACCAATTTTCCACTCTTAATCCACTCTACAAGTTGAGCGAATGCTTCTGGCCAATGCTTCGAAAAACTTGTCACTATAAACCCTTGAATTGTTAATTCTTTGGACACGATATAAGGTTGCAAAATTGGAGCCTTTACTACATTGCTAGAAACTTCATTATAACTGCTAATGCTACCACAAACGGCTACTCTCCCTTTTGCATTCATTTGACTTATAATAACACTGCTTATTTCGCCGCCAACGTTGTCAAAGTAGCAATCAATTCCCTTGGGTGCGGCTTCTTTAAGGGCCTTATCAATATCTGCTGTCTTGTAATTGATGGCCTTATCGAAACCCAGTTCTTTTTCAAGCCATTCTACTTTATCATCAGAACCTGCGAATCCAATAACTCTACAACCTTTAATTTTTGCAATCTGCCCAACCATAGAACCAACAGCTCCAGCAGCTCCCGTTACAACAACAGTCTCACCCACCTTTGGCTTACAAATCTCTAGTAGCCCAAAATATGCAGTCGCTCCAGGCATGCCGACGGCTCCTATACCCAATGACGGCGATAAGTCCTTTAGATTGGGTAACTTATAAATCATATTAGGTGGTTTCTGTAGTTCATTTGGATTTAAAATGGCATAATCGCACCATCCTTTATGTGTGATAATTCGTGTTCCTATAGGATAGGATGGGTTTTTGGAGTCTTCAACAACAGCAACTTGATAACCGAACTGATCGTATGGTATTTTATTTAATCTATTATAAGCTCTTTGGTAAGGGTCAACGCTGATCCATTCTGTTTTTGTAAGAATCTCGCCGTTTTGCAAATTAGGCAATTCGTAATCTATAATTTCGTAATCATCGCGTTTCGGAACTCCTTCAAAATAATTTTTAACAACGTATTTACGCGCCTTCACCATTTTGCGTGCACTCCGTTCCAACGTAGACAATATACTAAAGAATAAAGTACGTATTTTTATAAACGATAAAGATTATAAATAAACCTGTTATCAATATTGTCGCTATTGGATGTATAATGAAGCGCAAACATTAATAAAATATTTTATCGTTCAATCGTATTATTATCATCATCATCATTACAGCCCTTCACAAGTCCACTGCTGAACATAGGCCTCCCTCAAGGAATACCACAAAGCACGGTCCCGAGCCACCTGCATCCATTGACTTCCTGCATGTCTTACCAGGTCGTCACTCCATCTAGTAGGGGGACGCCCTACACTCCGCCTTAACAAACGTATTTAAGACTTACCTAATTGTAATTTGTCAAGAAAATATAAATTTATGTGGGTTTATAACTAATAAATGCAATAAAATTGTTTAAAAACTCGGCACAACCTGTCTCACTAAATGACAACTGTTCAAACAAACCGCATCGTATCGATGACTAGTCAAATGTTAATAATTAATACGATGACCTTTGTACTTATTCCAGCGGCGCGTTGTTGTACCTACTGTAGGTTTTTATTTGTTTGTTTTATAATATTAACCATGACTACCTTCAGAACTAAACTGGTTTCATTTGATGTAGGTACAGTGTTTGCGTAAACATAAGAAATCCTTTTGATGCATTGAAGTAATATGATGTAGTTTTCTTTATTCGATGACGTGTGGTTATGAACGAGAGAGTAAATTTTGAAACTTACCGATCGCCTTCAAGAATGTTTAATTTTTATTGTGCAGTATAAAGCTATATCTTTAAATAGTTATAGGTAGCCAATTGAGATTTTCACAGTATATGTGTTATTAAATATGGCAGATTTCCAACTAATAATAAGAAAATATAACAGGACGTCCTATACAAGAAACGTGTTTCTTTCAACGTTTTATGTTTTAGTTTTATTGTCAAAACAGTAAATTAGTGTAGTGCTAATCAGGTAGTTCTGTTAAGAACTTTCTGTCAAAAAATTCTCAGTTGTACCCCGGATTAAACTGCTTGTGAAACCTGAGAGCGCAAGGTAATTTCCTAGTGGTTTAAACGTTAGACGTACCGAAAAGTGTAAACGTGCTCCAGGTGAATTAAACTAGAGAATTGAATGACACCCTTGGCAGGCGAGTAGACAACCGCACTTTATATTATTTTGAGTTGTTTTAAGGAAGACGCATCTGCTCCTGTTTCATTTGCAGTAGCTGTTAAATGCCGACCTCCATGGTGGCGCTATATCGGAGGCGTGGAGCAGAATTGCGGAACTCTTTTTCTTCTAGATAGCCGACAATGCTGTATTGAAGATCGAAATGCCGATCTCACTTCTTAGCCGTGTTCACGTGCTGTTTTTGAGAATCATTATGATTCGTTTCCCACACAGACTTGACGCCAAAGACAAAACAAGTTTTTGCAAATAGTTAAGTACCTTAGACTTAGACCTCCAGACCGAATTTCGGTGAAGGCGACCAGTGGCGTAGCTATGTAACCAAGGGCCCGGGGCAAAAATGTAATTGGGGCCCTATTTAAACTAAACTAAATACTTTAAAGATGCAAAACTACTTCATCATCACCTCCTTCTCGCCCACTGCAGGGCACAATAAAGCAAAGCTACTTACTACTAAGTATTATGTGTAACGCATAAATAATGACGAAGTAGATTACTGTTAATAATATAGGCAGACAACATAACAGTGGAAGAGCCACACGGCAGTTTTTGCTGTCGCACGGGTGGGCTAGACTAGATGGAATGACGATCTGGTAAGACATGAAATGAAGAGCTGTAATGAATGAATGTAATGAATGGGTGGACCGGCTCAAACCAAGGATGTAGCACGGCCTTACAGATAACCAGCGTGAAGTAGAAGTTTACTTCGCCAGCACTTCTGGTATTGGAGAATCCCTAGCTGAGCATCTCCGCCCAAGCTACCCTACTCTTCCTTAGCGCGGGTGACATCTGCCACGCTATCCGTTAATTTTTGCAACATCAGGGGATTTCATTCGAACGTTAACGAAGTCCACTAGGTACCATCTGAAGACGGCGTAGCCGACCTTGCTCTTTCTAACCGATAACCGATACCATAATATGCTGCAAGCCAATAACGAGCACTGGTGATGCTTTATACACTAGCTGTGCCTATATTTCTTCGGGAAAACGTCGCCGAGTACTGGAACAAACTTGTGTCTGAAGTCGGTTCTTTGTCGGTAAGTAGGTAAGGTAAGGTCTCGGATTGGGACGACTAAATCTAATTAAGTTCAATGCCCAGAAGACACAAGTTTGCGCGTTTACCACTGAAAAGAACCCCTTTGTCGTAACTCCTCAATTTTAGGGCACTCCCCTTGTTACATCAGCCAGTATCGGAATCTCTGGCGTTGACATATCTAATAACGTACACTTTCGCTAAAAACCTTGGCGTGCTCAGCAGAGCGGGACAGTAGTTTTGCCGGCACACTGCTTGGAACTTTACAAGGAGCAGGTTTGACCTAACATGGAATACTGTTCTCATCCCTGAGCCGGGGCTTTCTAGTACCAGCTTCTTCCTCTTGACCACATCCAGCGCAGAGCGGCTCGATTCGTCGACGACCGACGAAGACGAAAGACGAGATGAAGAGATTTTTTTTGTTGCATCGCTTTGGATTTTCCACAGGGAATGTTCAGAGGAATTGTTCGGATTAATTCCAGCCACAAAATATCATCAACGCATTTCACAAATCCACATCATCGGGATGTTTGGCGGTCCACTACTGCCTGATTTACTAGGAGTTTTCTTCCTCGCACGACTTCTTTGTGGAATCGTTTACCACCGTTGACTTTTCCGGACCGTTACGACTGAGGAACCTTCAAGAAACGAGCTTACTCCTTTTTAAAATGCCGGCAACGCATCTACAATTCCCCCGGTGTTGTATGAGTATTTGTTAATAGGCGGTGGTCGATACATGCCATCAAGTGAGCCGCATGCTCGTTTCTCCCACTCTTCTATATAGACAATTATCTTTAATAATGTTATATTTATGTTCTGGAAGTGTGAGTAATTTTTGTGATTTCATTTCGAACCGTTCGCGGTCAGGAGCCAAAAAGATAAAACTCGAAAATTCTTTATACAACTAGGATACTAGGTACCTAATTTTTCGAACGTCGTCCTTGGAGACCTCGGCCTCTTTAGCTTGGGGGCCCCGGGGCACTGCCCCGCCTAGCCCATGGGTAGCTACACTACTGAAAGTGACCAGTCCAATGGAGACTAGCCATCTGCGCAGGACAGGATTATAAGGCCCGAAACTATTCGCAAGCACAGGTGCACTTTCTATTCTCTCACTCTCATAGTCCTTTACAGAAAAACTCAATAAATGACTTTGGTCCGACCTGGGATTTGAACCTGGAACCTGATGATCAGCAACCGCGTTTACGACCAATAGACCAAAACACAGCCAACTTTACCTAGCTACCGCAGGCCAGGGCTACAATCTGACACTGATTGCGTAGCAATTTGTGCGGTCCCATCAGCGGCGCCAGATTGGCTATAAGACAGAGTGATGATGTTTCCCCCAATCTCTTCACCGCTGCTTTGGAAGACGTTTTCGAGTTGCGGAACTGGAAAGGTGTGTCGATTTTCTGCCCAATTTCATAAGCTCCACTGTAATGCCATTCTCAACTAGGGCCTTGTCGTTTTTAAGGTGTTTAAGAGCCATCCAAACCTCGCTCAGACTGACGACAGTATCATCGTAATAATGTCCGTTGAGACTTGCTCTTGGCTTGTTACTTAAACTTGCGTGTGGCAACAACGACGATGTGTGCATCTGTCTGTGGAACCTCTTAATGACTCAAGATCTCAGGTCGCCCGAAAATGACGCTACAGTAGTCGTTCTTTAACTTAGACAGTTCGCTTTTCCAGCAGATAGATCTCTGGCAAAGACTTTGGAGTGTTGGTTGCGCTCAATCACTAAGTCTCGCCGATTGCGTTGCGAGATCACAGATCACACCTGTTGAAAACTGCCGTTTAATTTCTCGTCAATTTTTGTGTTATGCCCAGTAGCTAGCTATACACATATTATAGAAATCGTGTTCTCTTTGAATCAGCCATCCTAATGATCGTGTACCATGACACGTGTTTCAGCGACTGTACTGTTGTACAAGCGCAAGAACGTCATGCAGACAGACAGACCGGCTCCATCTCATTCACATAAATAATCTACACGATATTGTTAAATCAGCCATCCTAACGATAGTTTAGTCAATCCATTGTTGCCTCTTATATTAATCGTACTCGTATTGTAGGTTTTGAAAGCATGCATGGCTCTAGAGCAAGATCTAGAACTTCTCGTACATCGCCTTCGGTGTCTTCGGGGTCTCGCGAGGCCTCTTTAAATGCGAAGCCCCCAGACTTTACCACAGATGACTAATTAATTTTATCACTTTTACAATTTTTACAAATTTAAAAGCGTGTTTGTTTTGCCGGGCAAGAAGTTCTTCTTAAGTACTAGGTACTACGACGCCGTTGTAACTACCTTCAAAGACCGTTAGATTGTCGGAATACGAGATTTTTCAGGAATTAATAGGTATATCGTGTCAAAGCATGTTTGGTAAGATAGATCTTGGGAACGAAAGAAAAAGGGCCTTGCTGATGCGACTTCGCCCACGTCTATTTTAGTCCACGCTACGCCTCTATTCAGAACTTCATAGTGACGATCCAAGGTTGGTACGTGAGACCTTCAGTGAATAACGTTTGGTAGTTTTGAGTATAAGGTACGCAACCCTTGACTGACACACTTTCAAAGTTGATCACGTTGTTAATGACATCTTTGTAAACAATAAATATCATGACTTTTACACGATTGCCAACAAACATCCCAATCAGTCTTGGTAGGTATGGGTGGAAACAGTTTTCTCTACCGAATAAATAATGGTTTGTACCAAAGAGATTTAAATGTATAGGTATACTAACTTAAATGTCTTTGGTTTGTACCTAGATTACGATTAGCTTCCACGACAATGATTGTGAACGTTGTACTTACGACCCGTGGGCGTAGTCCTGTGCACAGAACACAAGGTTCTGTGTATCAATCACAGAGTACAGATTATTCTGCTGCCCCGAGGAACCCACTAAGGAGTTCAGATTTAGTAAATTAATATTTTAAAAATTGTTTGCTTATACCAACTATAAGTACTATAGTAGGTATTAGAAAGGTTTCAGGTTTCCACCAGGTGAGCTGCATGTTCGTTTGCCCACACTGCTATAAAAAATACCAAAATCGTCGCATAAGTTCTAACACCGCGGAAGTCCAAAAAATGCCAATTTGACTTTTGCATGTCATTCGATAGACGATCGAAAGACGATCTCTAGACCAATCAGAATCAGGGATTTCAACCAATGAGAGCGTTTTATTTTAAAAACAAATACACAGCGTATCTGCGTGGTGCGGGAATCTTCTTGCAAACAGCGCGTAAGTCAGTAACTTTCGTACTGTAACAGGTGGCGACTTGTGCTCTGAAGAAGTACAAATCACAAATCAAGGTAAATATAATTCATATTAATATTATCATGTGTTTATCTAAGAGATACAAACTTGATCTTTGATTTTTATGTAAAATTAAGTCTAAATATCGTGTATATTATTGTATAAAATAGGATGAAAATATTATTTTATTTACGCGGTGTTATGCTTGGTGAAAAAATGACTTACGCGGTGTTTTTATAACGGTTTTTAATACAATTTTTTTAATTTGCAGATATCAAGACACCATGGACTACGAATCCAGTGATGATGAGGGGGTTCTTGATCTATGTAAAGAACTAGGAATAAGAATACCGCCGAAAAAGAAAAATGACAATATTACCACCAGGGATAACTTAGAAAACATTGACATTAACTTGCGCGTTGTTATAATACCCGACAATACCTACGTAAACAGCGAGGTGAGTGTACATGAACTTTCCGAATTCAATAACAATGTAATGATGGTAGAAACTACAGCTCACTCGCCTATGTTACCGTCGAATGAAGAACCTATTGATATAAATTTTGCGCAAACAAGTGTAACAGATCCAACATTAATGGAAGAATCAACAGACCTTGCAGTATCGATGGCGAGTCCCTTGCCTTTGAATGACGAGGTCGAACAATATGGTGATCTTAATTCTGGTCGAAAAAGATGTTCAAAGGGATGTTCAGTGAACAAAAAATGGATTAAAAATAATAACAAGAAACTTAGAATGGAGGGAAAAGAATATTTAGGGTATAGGCGAGATAGCAATGGTCCAAAGTTTAGAGTATTACATGACACTATTAGGCCAGCCCGAATAATTGGCCCTCGATGTACTTCCGAGTTTTGTAAAAAATCAAAGCTTCGTGCTTGTGATACAATACCAGAAGAGGAACGAAACACCCTTTTCTCCAATTACTGGAATAATATGACGTGGGAACAGCGTAAACAATACGTTGTATCAAATGTTTAGGTATGCCCAAAAAAGCAGGTCAAATGTAAATCATCATCATCTAGGCGTGGTGAGACCAAAGAGTATTTTTTAGAAACTTCAAATGGACGTGCTCAAGTTTGCAAGCATATTTTTCCGAATACGTTCGGTATCAAAGAATGGACAGTCAGGTATTGGCTATCGATGGCTGAGCTTGGAATGGCAAAGAAACCCGAACTGACTCGTAAGGTTTTAGAAGGACCCTCAAAGAAAGTTGAGGTAGCTTTTCTTAAAGATTTCTTAAACAGTTTGCCAAAGATGCCTTCTCACTATTGTAGAGCTACCTCTTCTAGAGAATATTTAGAACCTACCATCGAAAACAAGAATCATCTTTTCAAACTTTATTGCGAGAAGTGTAAATCAGAAAATAAAGAACCCGTCAGCCGATGGTCTTTTGATAAAATTTTTAAAGAAAATAATTTAAGCTTATTCCAGCCATAAAAGGATCAATGTGATACATGCTGTGCGTTCAAAGCAGGTAATATTGGCGAAGACATCTATCGCAATCAGATTAATCGAAAGGAAGCAGCTAGAGAGGTGAAAAAGAAAGACAAGGACCGAGCATTAGCAGGAGAGCACACGTATTTACGCATGACCTCCAATCAGTAAAGTTGTGTCCGATGTTGCAGGCTAATGCATTGTACTTTAAAACTAAGCTCTGTGTGCACAATTTCACAATGTTTAACCTAGCCACAAAATATGTCCATTGTTACTGGTTTGACGAGCATAATGCAGGATTGGTGGCTTCTGTTTTTGCATCATGCGTCATAGATTGCCTGAGAAAAACTCTTTCAGAAAAACCTTTGCCAATTATCCTATTTTCTGATGGATGTACATCCCAAAACAGAAACGTTATTTTAGCGAATGCTCTTTTAGAATTAGCCATGGAATATAATGTCGTAATAACACAGCAATTCCTTGAAAAAGGTCATACCCAAATGGAGTGTGACTCAAGCCACAGTGCAATTGAATGCAGGCTTAAAAATAAGGAGATATACTTACCTTCCCAGTATGCCACTATTTCCAAGGAAGCTCGGCCGAAACAACCTTTCATGGTAAACTTTTTATCATACGACTTTTTTTTTGACTACTCAAACAAAGCTGATTTTTTGTACGAGTCCATCCGGCCTGGCTGAGTTGCCAACGATCCTACAGTCACAGATTTGAGAGCTTTGCAATATAACCCTAACGGCATTATTAACTACAAGTTAAGCTTTCAGGATGGCTATAAAAATTTGCCCAGAAGAGCCAAAAATAATAGGACAAGACCGGGCCCAAGGACTAAGCTTTATAATAATCATCAAAAAATAAATGAATCCAAATGGAAACATCTGCAAGAACTAAAGTCAGTTATTCCGCCTGACTGTCATAGTTTTTACGATACTTTACTTCATTAAGATTTTATAATGACTGATATTGTATTTTTGTTATTTTGATATAATATGTTTAAGAAATACTTGTCAGTATTCCATTTTGATGTAAGATATTTTATACCAAATAATTATCCAGGTTAACAAACAGTGCAATAAAGTAAAATTGTTAATCATTTGTAATGAAAAGTTAAGAAGAGTGGTTAAACAGTTGTAGAAGAAAATGTATTATGTTATATTTTTTAAGAGGTATAACTCTACCTGTTACTTTAATTTTAATTGAAATAAATGATTTATAAATATTTACAGTGTTTTTATAACTCAGCGTAAGTTTCCCCATAACCTTTATTTTAATGTGGTAACACCGCGTATGTCAGAAAAATAATACAAATAATATTTTTTTACAACAACCTTAACAAAAATATTGAAATTGATCTACCTATTTTTATAAATTTTCACATAAAAATTTATATATTAATATCGCGATATATAATAGGGCATGGTTTTTTTGCTCTCCTGAAAAGTTGTCATTTTTGACTTCCGCGGTGTTAGAACTTAAGCGACGAAATGTAAATGGCTAGTTTAATTTTTTTTTCATTGTCACTCATATCAACACAAGTCATAAATAAATCATGTTTGACATTTTAGTCCTTTTCGCTAATTTTATTTAGGGTGAAATTGGTAACATTTAAAATTAACAATTTTGTGCAAAATTACGGTTATATCTAAAAAAAGAAATGGCTAGTGGTGATTCTTCTCCTCCTAAATATATGACATATTCAAATTCAGGACTTCCCATAATAGGAGCCCTGTTCGATTATGTGGATACTAGCGTTGAATATTTCTGGACTAAGACATTTGCTCGCGCTGAGAAAATTAATGTGCGCAGGTCGAAAGCTACATTATCTGCTCCGTTTATAACGCTGGTGTGCTTAATCTTGGGTTCGGTTTCGAATGTCAAACTAGAAATTGTGACGTTGGACGAAAAACCTTTGCCAAATGATTTACACGTTGTATTGATGAGTGATAAGTATAAACTTTACGTCGATGACATAAATGTATCAAGTGAGTTCTTTTTAATGTTAAATTTGTGTCCAGTGAAAGCAAAGGTATATCCCACCGAAATCATAAATGTGAAAACGGGGCCAAGTTCCATACAAACGACGTTCGGGGTTGTAAGCTTGAGCGATAAAAGAGTTGTTGAGATCTGAACGTGTGCCAAGCTACATTATAAATAATCCGAGTATCCACTATTTATGTTTATACGCCAAATATCTAAAATCGAACTCGATGCCTCGAACCTAAATGAAATCTAGGTTTTTGATGACTTAGGATATAGGTTAATCAGTTGGGAATGGCTCATGTAAATATACGCGACGCTTCGACGCTCTTTATTTTTCGAAGTTGGCTGTTACGCGTATACCGTTAATATAGATAAATGTAACGACATCGCGCGCAGGTCTGCTGACAGCGTCATGACGCAATGTGTCGCCAGTATTGCCGGCCTAATATTACTGATCGATACTTCTGGTCCATCGACCGTTAATGGACTTGTGCATAATTTAGCACAAATTTTATCAGCTTCTATTAAGCGATGGACAACACTGCCATTATTTTCAGTTTTAGCAGTTAAAGGAGGCCCCACCTTCACACAGATCACAATGAGTTTGCTGTGACCACTCATTGATTCAGATGTAAATGTAAATCATTATTTTTATTCGTATTGTTAGTTGGTCCGTTCTAAAAGTTTTCAGTGCTAGTATTATATAGTTTCATGTTTTCAATTTTTACGGATAAAAATATATGCGGCGGTCTGTCCTTTGTTTGCACAGTATAGGGTTACCAACCCTATTATATTAACACAGTATTGTGTATTAGGGATCCGAATATTTTAATTCTCAAAAAATATATATTAGGCCAAACAACTATACTTAAGTAAAGCCTGACTGTGGCGTGAGGCTGTTAATAAAAGCCCAAGCACCAAAGTATTCCTATAAAATAAAATCTTAATTTGAAACACTATTACCATGTACTATTATTTACAGGTAATAACCCTGATATTTGATACAAAAAGTTGGCTCCCCAACTAGTGGCAATCCCAGCACTAGCCCTAAAAGTCTAATGGAGCTCTATAACATAGACATGGTCTTCGCCCATTGTAGGAAAATATTTCCGTAATCGCCGCTTGATAGAAAAAGCGATCTCAGTACTAGACGTTTGCATTTTTAAGGCTACTCCACCTCTTCGATTTGGATGTTTTAGATCTGGAATATTATACGAAATGGTATAGCTATAGCATCATCTATCTTTGGTTATGAGATCATTTTGGTTTTTCTCATAGACAAGGCCACCCACCCACTCATCCATTACACCGTACAAAAGTACACAGTTTGCCATAGTTTCCACGTTTGACAGGTGGATTAGCAGCTGCATTTTTTTATAATTTTAGTTGTTATCATGTTGATAACGAGGCCATATTATGACGAAATAAAGTGCTTGTGCGTTCAAAATTTTTATTATATCTTATCTTATAAGTTCATTATCTTATACCTAGTCAGGTCATAAGTATTGTCACACAGTAAAAACTTTTCTTTTAGAATGCTGGCCACAGAAAAGTTTATTGAATTCGAATTTCGAATTGTTCATGAAAATAAAAATGTATACTTTTTAGAATTTTACTCATCTTTAAATATGGAGTGGACGCTTAAAGAAGACCGTGTTGCAGTTATTGCGTTGCATCGTTGCGGTTACGCGCCAATTCAAATTTTTGACATACTGAAAAATTTGAATATAACCAAAAGATTCATTTATCGTACCATCAAACGATACTATGAAGACTCTAGTGTAGATGACAGGTTAAGAAATGGTCGCCCTCGGTCTGTTAGGACTCCAGCAGTGATAAAAGCTGTGAAGGCGCGAATTCAAAGAAATCCCAAACGTAAGCAGTAACTGTTGGCCCTTCAGATGGGATTAAGCAGAACCACGGTGAAAAGGGTGTTAAATGAAGACTTAGGGCTTCGGGCATATCGAAGAAAAACAGGACATCGTTTGAATGCTCGTCTAATGGACCTGAGACTGAAGAGATGCCGCGCTTTGTTGAAGCGGTACGCGGGAAAAAAATCGGGAAATGCTTTTTTCGGATGAAAAAATTTTTAGCATAGAAGAGAGCTACAACAAACAAAATGATAAGGTGTACGCACACAGTAGTGAAGAAGCGAGCAACCGTATTCCGCGTGTCCAACGAGGTCATTTTCCATCCTAGCTCTTGGTATGGTTAGGAGTTTCTTATTGGGGCTTAACAGAGGTACATTTTTGTGAGAAAGGTGTAAAAACGAATGCAGTTGTGTATCAAAATACAGTCCTGACGAACCTTGTGGAACCTGTTTCTCATACCATGTTCAATAACAGGCACTGGGTATTCCAACAAGATTCGGCGCCAGCTCATAGAGCGAAGAGCACACAAGACTGGCTGGCGGCGTGTGAAATCGACTTCATCCGGCACGAAGACTGGCCCTCCTCCAGTCCAGATTTGAATCCGTTAGATTACAAGATATGGCAACACTTGGAGGAAAAGGCGTGCTCAAAGCCTCATCCCAATTTGGAGTCACTCAAGACATCCTTTATTAAGGCAGCCGCCGATATTGACATGGACCTCGTTCATGCTGCGATAGACGACTGGCCGCGCAGATTGAAGGCCTGTATTCAAAATCACGGAGGTCATTTTGAATAAACTTTAGTGTCTTAAGAATCTATGTTTTGTTAAGTTCATTTTGGTATATAAATGGTTACATAATAAATAAACTTGTTTCAATTATTTTATATTAAACATGTGACAGAATTTATGACCTGACTAGGTATATATATATTTCTTAACAGTGGTAGAGCCACGCGGCAGCTTTTGCTGTCGCACGGATGGGCTCGAACCGGGGTAGTACCACGACCTCACAGAAAACCAGCGTGAAGTAGAGGTTTACCTCTGCGTTTCGCTTGGTGAGTGCAGGTGGCCGGAAGCCCTTTTAACTGGAAATGAGGTATTCCATCTTAGTCCTCACGGGTGACAACGCATCTACATTTTGATTTGTAACAGAGGATAGATGTAGATGTCTATGGGCCGCAGCAACCACTTACCATCAGGTGGACTGTGTGCTCGTTTGTCACCCTTATCCTATAAAAAAAAAATCTTATAAAATTTTGTTGTTTTTTTTTATTAATAATCTATACATATAATAAAACTGTAAATAGCAGATGTCTGTACATTTTATATTTTTGTAATAAAAGTGATTGAGGGGTACTAAAAATAAGTAATTAAATACATTTCTACCATTTTTAGAATTTTCTGTCTGTCTGTCTGTCTGTCTGTCTGTCTGTTTGTTTGTTAACGTATCACGTATAAAGTACTAATTTATATCATAAGAATTGTTAAGGAAATTACAAAGTGTATCTTCGGGTTACATTTAGTCTTTATTTCATTAAAATCAGATCATTCCATCAAAAGTTATGATAAATATTCTGAAGTATGGGTATGGAAGTATAGGTACGAATTTGCTCAACGGTGGCTTTGTTTGAGTCATCAGGTGCATTTTAAACTAATATCATATCATAAATCATAGTTAAATTATGTAAAATAATGATATAATTATGTATATCTAAAACGCAGTAAACAAAAGTATTAAAAAACGTATTAAATATATTATACAAAAATATATTAACCTTATTAACTAAATCTGAAGCACAATAGTTTTCCCATTTCTTCGATAGATGGTGGTGTTGTGAAAATGTAATGCAATTGCAATGTTTTTTTTTCCTGTAGATGAGTTTTCATATTTACTGCTAATCTTTATTATATTACTCGCTGCCCTACTGCGTGTTGATAAACTCAATTTATTCTTTACCGCCGAGTACTCTATGTGGTAAATCAAATTTTAAAAGAGCTATTAACAAATCGTTGGTTTTGGCGAGAGTCAAACTTTATTTTTTGCTTACTGTGCAGGCACTGATTTATAAGTACTCTTGCGTTTTATATAATGTATCAATCGCGTCAATGAGGGCATCCACGACTTTTTCTGCCACCAGGGCGGCGCCACTTTAGAGTAAGGTAAAATATTTGACAGATTTCATAGCGGGGATGATAATTTCTTAGGAAAATGTAATCTTTAAGGTTTCTTTATGTATTATTAGTTATATTTTATATTAATTACATTAGAAATGAATAAACCAAACTATAAATATAACTAAAAGACGACTTTTTAAAAAAAAGTTATAATGTGAAAAAAATTAAAAATCAAACCACTGACGCATTGTGTTGTGTATTAATATAATACTCTAGATAATGATAAACTATTATTTAAAACTAATTTCTCAATTAACTGACATTGTGTAACAAAAAATTTTACCTCAGTCACAACTAGCGACATCTGGTGAGTGGAAGATTATTAGCCCTCATAAATCTCTTTTATTTTAAGAATTGATGTTAGCAGCGCCATCTCTCTTTAAATATATACATATATTAAAAATGATGATAACATATTGTGTCTCTTTCTGTACATTGTATAGGTATATATTTTGGTGGCTAAAATTATGGGGAAATGAAAATAATTAAATAAGAACATTTTATAATTTTTAGAATTGTCTGTATGTCTATTTGTTTGTTATTATATGAACGCATCACGTCTAAAGTAAACATCTTTTATTTTCAAAGAAATCGTTAAGAAAATCATAAAGCGTATCTTCGAGTTACATTTAATCTTTGTTTTATTAAAATTGGTTAATTCTATCGAAAGTAATGATTATTATTTTGAAATGTAGGTTCGAATTTGTTCAATGGCGCCATAAAATCTCAGAAATAGTAATAAAAAGATTTGTGTGTAAAAAAAACGTTCCATAATAATTAATATATTTATACTTAAAACACAAAAAGAGATTTAAAAAGGATGTTTTCTCACACAAAGGACGTAATAGATGGAGTTGTACAAATTACAAACTTTTCTGAATTGCTGTGTTGAGATTTTTCGCCGATGAATCGTATTGAGACTTACTGAAGAAATTTGTATCCATCGAAGCCATAC